TGGGATCGGACAGCCAAGAAGGGTGAGGTGTTAAGTAGAGGGATGATAGGCTGTAGGAGGGGGGGCAGAGGATGAAGTCATGTGCCTGCAGAAGGCGCTCCAGCCGAGGTCAGATCCTGTTCATGGAAACCATCTGGCCAGCTCCATCTGAGCCACACCAAACATACAGTACTCTTGATCTTCCTTTCTATCTCCCTCACATTCCTCCAGCCTTAAAACCCACCTTCTGACTAATTTTCTCATCTTCCTCTCCCCCTAACCTCCCTGTCTCCTATCCATCACTTTTCCTTTCACCCCACTGCTTTTCCTCTTCTCTCAAAATATATCCTACTCATTAATGCAGGGCAGCTGCAGGGAGCAGTGTTACTTTGTTTTTCCATGGCAACGCTCCCTCTGTTTCAGCAGATCCAGTTTCAATTTTGGTAGCAACGTGCTCCTTTGCCAGTGCTGTACACATTTATGTGTTAAATAGAAGGACTTATTGCAAAATTCCTGAAAGAGAATCACTGTACTGATCGCTGGCAATTATGAATAGGGCCCCATTCTCAGGGGAGCAAAACAATGAGTTTAAAGTGGACCTATCATGCTATATTTGAATAATATATTATAGGGCCATACCTATATAAAACATGTCTGTGAAGTTTTTTTTTCAAAATACCAAACAGATTATGCATTTTAGCCATGCCTCATTTCGCTCTATTTGCTCTATTCCAGCCCTGTCTTCACAAGGGCTGATTCTGTGGCAAATTAACTGCAGCTGACCACCCCCTCTGCAAACGAGGGGGGCGAGGCACAAGCGTCATGTTACCATGCTGTTACCATGCTGTTACCATGCTGTTACCATGCTGTTACCATGCCACGCAACCTCTCATTCCCCTGATAGGTGGAGAGTTGCCCATATAGGCGGAGCTCCCCGTTTCTGACGTCAGAACAATTTCAAATCTGTATCAATCTGTATCAGATCCGTTGCAGCCCCGTTTTTAGAGATTTGGGTATGGAGGAAAAGAGAGAGGGTTGTGTTTTCTGACACTTGGTGAGTTCCCTGACACACCGGGGACACATATTCATGTATAAAAGACTTACAAAAGTGCATTTTGCATGATAGGTCCCCTTTAAGCAAGAGTAGAAGTAAAGCGTAGGATCAGGACACTGAGAGCAAGAGGCCGCTTGAAGATGTGCAAGGCCGAGGTGACAATAGCAGCACAGCCCTTCAGCCCTTATGTGAAGAGACTTCTAAAGTAACACCACCTGCACAAATTGTAGCCTTGCAGGACCATGACACTTAGTTGCCTCTTCAGGGAAAATAACACATGCACACTCTGTACCTCGTGTATACTGTGCTGATGATCTGTGCTGTATGTAACGTCATGCAGACTCCACCATCATGGGCCTGAGGGATTCTGTTTGGATGCTGTGTCTCTCTGACCTCACCATGCCTATTTTAATGGTGCAAGACACTGGCTCCAACACTCTCACTCAATGTCCTTTTTATACAGACTCTCTTGCTCTAATTTAATAACCACTGTTGAAGACTCTGGGACCCCTAATTGTCAAGGCAGGGATTCACAAGGTTATATGAATAGACTATTGGCTGACAGTCTGTATTTATCATTGACAGAGAAGAGATTCAAGGAAGTTGACTTTTGGCATTTCATTAATTTAAAATAATGATTCGCCCATTGTCATTGCAGATCTATCATTCCAAGTGAGATACCAGTAGTATAGGGAGATACACCGTTAGATACATAGCAATTTAATGGATTTAAAGTGGCAGAGAAATGTGTGCTTAGAATAACTGTATTGGGCTTTGGTTGCAACACTCAACTAAAGATAGAGCACACTCATGGATTCAGATAGTACCCTTTCCACGATTAGTGGGCCATCACCAGGAATCAATGCTAACTATTTCTGTCATTGTAAAAAAAGGATGGTGAATAGAATGATTTTAGAACAGAATGCTATAAATGGAAACAGTGCATGTTCAGCTTTTTCCAGCTGCTATTCTGGTTTAAACCTTGAGTGGGAAATGTGTCTAAGACATTACATAAGCTGCACTGAAGTATAGAGTCACAATGAAATGTACAGTGCAATGGGACAGAATTTCAAGTACTTTTATTTTGAGGTTATGCTGTTTCTTGGGGTAAGATAAGTGAAGATGTAGCAAAATGCATTAAACATTGAAATGTATGACACTAGCCCTTTGTTTTCACTCTCACATAATCTATGTCCCATCAACTGCATCAGAGACTAGGACAGCAAGAAAAAAATGGCTCATAAAATCACGGTCCTAATTGTGTGTAGCTAATGTTCTGTTTAAACTGCCATACGTGGTTTGAGCAGGCCGTAGAAAGAGTAACTTTGTAACCTTTCCTATCCTCCAATCTTCTTTCCATCACCTTTGGCTTGATCCCTCTTGTTCTCTCTCGTTCAGGTAAAGAGGGAGAAAACCTCCCAATGCCACAAATTAGGGGCAGCATGTATAGCAGCAAGTGTAAGTCATTAGGTTATTCTGTTTAGCACCACAGCTAAATAAATGGAGTGGTTTAACTTGGGGATATCCAAAGCCCCGGAGTACCAGCTGTTGGGTCCATCGGTTTGGAAGCTTGCCACTCACATGTCAACAGGCAGGGGCTGTTTCCTAATTATTGCTTTTTGTATCCGGGGAAATAGTTCCAGAACTGGAGATGTTGCGCTTTTCTTTTTGGAAAAAGTAAATGCTTCATTCCCGCGGCATTGTCCTCCGCTGCCTTCGGTCATTTTTTACCGGTGTTTTGTTGGTCTGCACACTAGCGGGGCGGGGCCTGATGTGATCTGATCAAGAATGAATTGTGATTGGTGGTTGCTGTGGCATGAGAGTCTGCATGTCACTCACTCAAGTTCCCCTGACGTGAGAGCCGCGCAATTTTCCATTTTGTAGCAAGGCAAGCAAATAATTGGTAACTGACGTGTTTCGAGTTAATTTACCTACTTAATATACAGCGTCCGTGAAAAATTAATGAAAAATCGGAGTCCTAAGCGATGTGATATCGCGGTTATCGCCATGACACGATATTCGTTAGGCCTAGTCTTAATNTCCTAATGACCCTTGCTGCCTCCTACTGTGTACACTGTAAAAAAAAAAACGTTGTTTTTACGGTAAAAACCTGGCAGCTTTGTTGCCAGAATAATGATGTAAAAACATCATTATTCTGGCAACAAAGCTGCCAGGTTTTTACCGTAAAAACAACGTTTTTTTTTTTACAGTGTACACAGTAGGAGGCAGCAAGGGTCATTAGGAACCAATAGTTCATGTTTTATTCCAGCAGGTTCATCAAGTCACACTCATGATAACAAGTCAATGGCATACAGAATCAAACCGTGGATAAAGGGCAGAGATGAGCTGTCTTTGCAGGGTGTCTGGTTCACTCGACACACTATCCTTTGTGTTGAACCCTCTTGTGTATTTCCCTTTGGAGCCCTGCAGGAGGAGCTGTAGGGCAAAACATGCCGGAGGAACTGCCTGCTGTCTGCAATCTGGCCAGAGATCCTCAGGTCCTGAAGTATTTTTTTCTCATACTGATATTCTGAACAATCTGTGCAGTTGTATTAGCTGTAAAGTGTCTCTACTGTAGGCTATTTTTATTATATGTACAGCACTTTGGCTCGACCAAAAATCGTTTATAAATCTGCTATATAAATAAAACTGGATTTGATTTGATTTGGCTGCACATCAGGAAGTCTGCTTTCTTCTTCTGTCCCAGATAGGGTTAGGGCAGAAAATACATTGAATGGCTAAAGCGTGTAATGCTGCTGGTGTTTCCAATTGACTTTTCGGTGGTTCAAGATGCAGAAAGCTTAAAGTAACACCACTGAAATGTGCTTAACAGATTTGGCTAATCACTAATTGAGATGCAGGGCTGATTACACTTCAGTAGTCTGTTACAAAAACACACAAGATTGATGGTGTTTTGGTCAGGGCAATGTGGATTTTTTTGATTATTTGTTATACTTTTATGATGTTCAAGTGATTTCTATTATAATAGTTGATGCATGCTGTTGTGAGTGTATGAGTGTGTGTGTGAGTGTATTTCAAAACCGCTGTTAATGCACTTCCTGTGACTTAAATAGGTTTATTGTGGGACTGCATATTTCATATTTGTTTAATATTTATGATTGCTTTGTGGCTGTTTTGTGTACTGCTCCTCAACCATCCAAATGTCCCAAAATGGCACGACAACGTATTCCAATATTTCCACATTTTCCACATTTCAATTAAATCATTCTGTCTCGATAATGATGGTCTGTCAGGTAGTACCTCCCACACAGCACCTGTCCTCTGCTGCTTGTAAAGGTGCAAATGGCCAGATGGGTTTCGATGACACATTAAAACAGCTGTCAGGGTGGACAATGGCAGAGATCAATAGCACTAATAAAGTCTCCTTCTGTAAGGACCTTGGCTTTTAAGGAGCTGCAGCTGTGAGCTTTCAACAATGCTGCTCTCAAGGGTTTCAATTGGCTGAGAAGTCCGTAAAACAAGCACTAAAATAAAGCCATTTTGCAGAATGTAATCATGCATAAAGGAAATAGACAAATGCTGAGACGTCAAACCAGCTGCAGGTAGGAAAGCATGCACAGTGGTTTTGCATGGAATCTCATTTTAGATAATGTAACACAGTTTTAGTGACTGGGACATTCGGACCAGCGTAAGGAGGTCAGGTGAGCCAGGTGTGTGTATTTATTTAATTTAAAAATTCAATTCAAAGTTTTATTGTCATTTGCACATTAGCTACAGTTATACAGTAGAGTTATGTACATTATGGATGTTCTTTAAAAAGTTCAGGTGTTTAATAGTCTTAGGCTGTCCCTGAGTCTGGTGGTTTCAGAGCCCGTGTGTGTGTGTGTGTGTGTGTGTGTGTGTGTGTGTGTGTGTGTGTGTGTGTGTGTGTGTGTGTGTGTGTGTGTGTGTGTTTCAGAGCCCAGGTGTGTGTGTGTTTCAGAGCAAGGTGTGTGTGTGTTTCAGAGCCCAGGTGTGTGTGAAGGAGAACATGATGACCTTGGGTTTTGGCGTGAGGAGCCTCTGAAGGAGGAGGCGCGCCCCCGGCTGGCAGAGGAAGAAGAGCATCCTGATCCTGCTGCTTCCACATTTCAGTCACGCAGCTTTGCTCAGATTTCAGATGAGGCATGGACGATGTTTTTTTTTCTGTCGCAGACCGTATCTAATGAAGAGAAATCGCGCTTGGCATCGATGCTTTTTGCATTTTAGGGGATTCATTGTAGATAAATAACCTCTCTGGATTTATTGCACCAACAGAGCATCTGCACCTCGTCGAGAGCGACACAAAACAAGAATCTCCTGCGGATCGTTTCATCATTTAAAACCTTTTTCATGCAAAACAAACGAAGATAATCATAATTTTTTGATACATTTGGACTCAGATCGATTTGACATCCATATATTGCGATGCGTATCCTCCAAACGCAATAATGCTGCGGTGCAGGAGCAGTGAAGCAGCCTGAGAAAAGATGCTGGACAATGTGCTGTCTGGGTGGGACAGGACCTTATCAGTAATCGAATTACTCTTTGCATCGATGCATGTTGCAAATAAAGGGGATCATAGAGAAATAACCGTATTTTTTGGATAATCTGCATTAATTGCACACTCGTTGCAAGCGGCAGAAAAACAGACCCCCCTGTGGATGGTTTCATTTTTTCTTTTTTTTTACACCTTTGACGTGCGAAGTATACAACAAATCTGCATTAATTGCACACTGCACCTCGTCGAAAGCGACAGAAAAGCAGACCCCCCCCCCCCCCCTGCGGTTGGTTTCATGTTTTTTGACACCTTTTTACGTGCAAAATATACAAAAAATTGGACACAGATTGGTTTGATATCGACACACTGCGATGCATATCATCCAGCAGCATGATGCATGTGAAATAGCCTGAGAGAAGGTGCTTCTGGACACCGTGCTGTTCCGGTCCCCGGTCCTGAATGCACGGGAGACAGACACCGACCCGGGTGTCACCGTCAGCCCCGGATGCTGCGCCGAAGAATGGGATACGCCGACCCCTCGTCGGGTAAAGACATCCTCGGCAATAGGTCTCTTTGTTTTATATTCATTTGCGCATTTGGACTTGTCACGCTATTGCAACAGATTCTCTATGGAAAAAACTACATCAAGAGGTAAGTGTTGTCTATGTTCAGAGACAATGGGCTGTAGTGAAGGCCTTGGTGTTTACACTGTAAGGATTTAAATGCATTCATAGCCCTTTTAATGACTGAATGACGTAAATAATGAGTGGTAACATTACAGATTGTCAGTATGGGAGTACTCTGTCTGAAGATGCATGGAGAAAACAAGCTTTCATGGCTGGAAAGAACAAAAGCAATTAACCATCCATCTTTTTTTCCCAGTAGCATTTAGAAACCATTGGATTTATTTTGTAGATATTTTCTGAAAGCGAAGCATCACATTCATGCCATACACAGAGCTCCTGCAGCAGTGTATGGTAATATTTTCTCTTCCTTTTTTTACCCCCCCTCCTCCAAAGATATTTATTTGATTTTCTTGACTGGTGGTAGCCTACATCTTAAAGGTATCAGGTTGAGGTTATAATAAAGCAGCTTGAAGATATTGTAGCCGATGATGATGATAATGATGAGCACAGACATGATGAAGATGATGTGTATTTCTTATTGGTCCCTGTTAAATAAATCACGTCAGCAGTCTGCAGGCAGCACTGCAGAGCAGGTTTTGTAATAGCTCTGCATCATGAGTCTGGGTTGTTGAGCTGCTCCATTTTTTGCACAAAACACCAATAAGAGCCCTTTTCTTCACACTCTGAGACACATTCAGTGTGAGACGAGCAGATGCTGAGAAGCCGGGATGTTTTATCTTAAGGTGGTTACAGGAAATGAAACAAAATGTAAAAACTTTACCCCCCACCTCCAGATATGTTACAGCATATATATGTTCAAGCAAAAACATATATGGTGTAATCTGAAAGCTAACCCCCGCCGGCTAAACCCCCCTCCCCTGGTACTCAATGTGGTGTCATGGCATCTCCATCACTGCGGTGTGAGATGCATGAATTCAGACACACACACACACACACACACACACACACACACACACACACACACACACACACACACACCTTTCAGGCTCATGCAGCAGCAGCCATTTTGCTACAGTCTGTCTGCACACACACCCCATAATGCAAGTGGGGGAGAGAGAGGACGGAGACGAGTGAGAGACTGAGAGGGAGTGGGGGAGATGTGTGAGCGTGTGTGTGTGATGCAGAGAGAGAGAAGACGTCATCTTATGACATCTCTTCAAGCGTAAACAACCAAAAAGCAGCCCACGTCATCACTGCGACCACACCCAAAAGAATGACTCAAAATACAGAAAGGGCTGCAGCATTTACCTAAAACACAGTTACCTTCATTATGATGTTTGTTTGGAGTCAAACCCAACATTTACAGTCCTGGTGCTGAAGATTTGAAACCATCATTCAATACCATTCACTCTAGTAGGGCAATTTACTGTGTCAAGGCTGCAAGGAGCAATTTAATGGTCCTTAAAATCTTAGAAATAAGGTAAAAATTTATGTGTTTAAGGCGTTTATGTCCAATAAGAACCAATGCACTGGAGAGCCCAGGAAGTACTAAAAGAGTGTTGTCTTTCTACCGGATATTTGATCAAACAGGTTAAATATTGCCACCTTTTTAGTTGCAATTTAATAAGTTTGAAGCCTTAAAGAAGTTTTCTCATATTCTCCCTTTAAGAAACGAACTATGCTTTGAACATATGAAGCCCCTCAGATCTCCAGAATGAGTTACAGCATCCCCATGATGAGAGGATTGTGAATCACCTGCACCGAATGGCCTCCTCTGATAATTTCCCCTTGATGTTTGCAGTGAGAATTTAAGCATTATAGGCCAAGATATCCTGAGTTTAAGACTGGATGCAGCAGTTCTGGTTAGACACAGACAAGTGTCAAGTCAAAGTCAGCTTTATTGTCAAAATTACTACATGTGTTATGCATCCGGAGATCTCGAGATACCGTTCCCGCAGTCCCGCAGTGTGACATACATAAAACAAAACAAAAAGGGCCTAGCTAAACGGGGTATACAAGTGCTGAGAACCACCCAGACTCTTTTCCTGCTAAAGTACTGGTAGGTATTTTCAGGGAATCACAGGAAAAACATCTGTGCAAATTACCGTAATTTAAAAAGAAGGCAGCAGAGGAGACATGTGGATGCTTAGATTGAGAGAAAGCTAGAAAACATCTTTGCAAATTACCGTTATCTCGAAAGGCAGCGAAGGCGACGTGTGGGTGATCGAACGAAAGCTCAGTAAGTGAACGTTTCATTAACCTTACATGAGCAGCTCTCTTTACATGACCTGAGGGCAAAGGGCAATGCTCTTAAGGCGCTCCAACTAAGTGAGGAACATTGTAGAGTCACATTAATCAACGTGATGTCAGCCTTCTCTTACTTTAAGATGAAGTGAATGTCGGATTGTGAAATGGCAGACTCAAGAGGAAAGCGTATTAAATGATCCCAGTGATTGACACACTTCTGCAAATGAAGATATGTTTGTTGGACTCGTTTTGACTCGAAGAGGGCGATATTTAAGAATAGTCTCTGGCCCTGCATTGGGTTGGTTTGTAACCATCCAAAAACAAGTGGATTTGCGACGTTTGATAATCATTTGATCATGTTATATATATATTTAAAAAGTCCCTCACAGTTATCTGAGAGGTCAAGGAGACATCTTTGAAATGCTAGTCTGTCTCACCATCAGTCCAAAACTAAAAAATAAATACAATTCACATTATATAAAACAAAGAAAAGCAGAAAATCCGGCTGGAAAAAAACTATAACCAGCGACTATTTGATATTCTTATTCTTAAATGATGACACACTTTGTACCTCTGACTGTATGTTGTGAGCCCTTCTTGAAGCGTTATCTGTATCTTCACTATTTTGAGCAACCTCTTATGTGTTTTTAAGGGCTGTACATGTAGATTTTGCACATTGCAGCACAGTTCATAATTTATAAGATGCAGCACTTCCACCAGCCATTCCCTGTAAAAAAAAAAGCCACGAAAGGAGGGCTCCCATCAAAAACAACCACGTTACATTTCCTGTTTGAGACAGTCAGGTGGCCATCTTAAGGAGCTCTTGGTTTTTACAGGAAAGACCTCAGGGTATTTGATCAGACTGTCAATGTGCCAGAGATACTCTTAAAACAAGCCAAGTCACAAAGTCCCATAGTCCTTCCTGCTTTCAGGTCCCATTAACGAGGCTCGGGGCAGAATCAGAGCACATTAACTCGACTCTTGTTGTTGTTTGTTCGATCTAATGCTTGGATTAGTGTCTGAACTGCGCTCATAATTGAGTCACGGGAGATAAATGGTCTCTCTTCAGGTTTGAGTCGAAGACAGTGGATTGATGTGTGTGTCCAAGGAAGCCACATGAGATTGATTAAGGTTTTATCCGCAGCCACAAGATTGGTAAATATCCGTTTATGTATTATTGAACGAATCGAGCTGTAAGGGAGTGTTTTGGTGAAGATTAAAGAGGCCCTATAATCCTTTTCCCTTTCAATACAATAATACGATCCAAAGGGGCTTTATTAGCATGACCACATTTGAAACGTAGTAGGCCTATTGCCAAAGCATTCCGCACAAGGCGTTATAACCAGGGGTGCACATAACTTTCTCAGTGAGGTACTCAGATGAGTACCTGGAGTCAGTGTTTAGTACTCCAACTTCTGGCTCCACGCGAAGTTATGAGATGAAGCCCTCTGTATCGCGAACGTCCACGGGGGGGGGGTGCGAGTGGAGTACTTCGTGACCGCTGGGCGTGAACGTTGTGATGTCACAGAAGGGGGGGTTGGCGTAGTTTTGGCACAATTCCGTCGTACAGACCGACGTTAACAGCAGCCCCGTCTGTGCACACGGAGACCCACTCTGGCGTCCGGTAATCTAAGCGTCTTCTGGAAAAGCTTCACCAATACATCGTTACGCAAATGCGCTTTGTGACACAGTGTTAAGAATGTCACAAGGCTCAGGACCCAAACGCACAACACCAGAAACAGGTCAGGATTAACAAGGTCTTTTAATTAAGGTCAAAACACAAAACGCTCACTTGGAGGATCAAAACTCTAAACAAAAACATCTACATGGACTATCAAAAATGAAACCAAAAGAGTCTATCAAAAATATACTTAACAAGATCAAGGGATGAATGGCAGGCTTGACGAGACAAGACGAACTGGCACAGGACAAAGGGAGATGCAGACTATACACACTAGGTAAGGGATACAGGTGGCAACAATTAAGGGAGGGGCTGACAATCACACTGGAGGGAAAACACACAAGGGCAGGAATGCTCTGAAACGAGAGGGAAAGGTTACTACAAAATAAAACAGGAAATCACAAGACAAAGCAAAAGACAAAAGGACTGAACTAAATAAACTAACTTAACACAAATGTCTAGACACCACACACAGGTGACAGTACGCATTTCAGATTGTTGCCGTGCATGCGTACCAGTTATGTGCACCCCTGGCTATAACAGAACAAAAACTAAAAGAAACACTAAACATAAATGTCAACAATACATATATGTATAACCCAACAGCATAACACAAAACATACTGAAGGCTATATGCCAACAACGTGCAAATACAAATATATACACATATTATTCCTCTTGTGTGTTATATAGGTTTCTGTGCATGTAAACGGTCTGCTAAGGCTAAAATTGGACTTCTTAGTTTACTTCCGTAATATATTGACATATGGATCACTTGTGTTCCTATTGGCTAGCGTTCCAACACATTGTACGTGATAGGCTAAGGGGCGGGACATCTCTAAGCAGGTTGACCAATCACAACAGAGCCGGCCAGCTAACCAATCAGAGCAGCTCTGGTTTCACACTGATATATGAACTTGAAAACTAGTAGAATACATTTTAAGATGCATGCTAATATAAATCGTGCAGGTTTGGTGAGCTTAGTCAACCTGTCCTCCTAAAGCGAGGCACATTTCTGACTCTCGTGGGTGCAGCTGTTTGCAAAGTGTCATTGAGGAGGTTAAGTGGCACTGAGGAAATGCGCCTGTCCCAGAATAATGACTGCTCGATCACATAAAGGCTCTCTGGATTCAGATTTAGCACAATGCCCACTGAGCACTCTCAGAAATGAGTCACACATGAATCATAATCAGCTAGCAACGGGAGAAAATGGTTTAACGCCTGTTCACAACCGCAGTTAAACACCCAACCTTTAGTATGTAAAGCTGATTTTTAAAGGGTTCAACAAATCCCAGGTGTTTCCAAAGCCTGATATCGTTTATTTCTCTGTTCCAATGACCTGCATTTATGTTCAAAGAAATACTCAAAATACAGAAATGTGCCATGCCATTTCACTATTAGGTGACATTTTTCTTGATTATAATGATGTTTCTTTTGAGTCAAACCCGACGTCCAGAGTCCTTGTGCATTAAATACTGAACCAACGAGTGATTTATTGAATTATCCAATAACTGGTTGCTCTAAAATAGGGATAAATGTGTATCCAGTTTCTCAAAGTCTAACTAGTATTCAGTCCAAAACCCACAAATATTTACTTTAATATAAGATAAAACAGAAAAGCAGGGAGTCTCCGTTTCTTATGAGGCTTCAAAACTGAATTTTTTAAAGACTGATTTAAGAATGATTCACTTATGATTGCAATCTACTGCGCTCCTCATCTCTCTAAAATTAGAAGTAGAAGTGACAACATCCTCTTGATGTGAAGGCTATGACTCACCAACATGTCCTCTGATATATTCACTGTGATGGATAGGAAGAATTTATGCAACAGAGACAAGAATATCCAATATAGTCCTTAAAGGTGGGGTAGGTAAGTTTGAGAAACCAGCTAGAGATACACTTGTTGTTATATTCCATGGAATGCTCTTAACATCCCGATAGCAATGAATATCTGAAGTGCTTTGACAAAAAATGCATTAAAAAATGTCATCTGTGGAAGCCGTGGCGCTGTAAAAAGCACGACCAATCATCTGAGCCGGTCCGGCTAAAGTAACTGGATGGCCAACTGCCTGTCAGCCTTCCATCTGTGCACAAACTTATCTCGTGCCCTCATTGGTCATGTGCGCGTTCGTGTGTGTTGGAGGAGGGGCTCTGTAAGGAAGTCTGAAGGAAGGGGCAGATTTTTTCCGGTTATGTATTTTCAAATTCTAGCGCACTCGAGAACACTTTCATCACCTTTAAAAGTGATATACTTTATAAAAGTATGTTCAATAAAAAGCCTCGTAGAAAGTCTGTTGGCCTTCTCGTCCTCTGCAGTCATTTGCAATTCACAGAAACACTTTCCACAAGTTCTACTCCTCCCTTAAGACCCCGTGATTTCCATATCTTCGACACTCCTGCAGAGCGACAATGCCCAGTGTGAATGTTGGAATCACACCTAGCATAAATGAACCATTAAAACCACGACGTCATTAACAGGAAATCAATTTTTTTAACCATGTTTGGTGTCATTCTTTTTTTCTTGAGCCAAAAAGCTGGTCCCCCTCATATGTGTGTGTGTGTGTGTGTATTTAAGAAAGTGTGAGTGAACACATGGGCGTGGTTGGTATGTATTTTTGCACAGCTAAGGAACCAACAAACCCCAAATAAACGCACTTATTTTTGTTATTAGTGCGCAACAGTTTAACCGACTCAAAGGGGACGAGACAGGAAATTGGACCGGTCCCGTTAATTTCTCGGATGACGGATCTCTGAAGCCGGCCAGAAATGGAAGGAAAAGGTACCTTCACCCGTGTGCACAACACCTCTGTGGAAAGAGAGTGTGTGAGGGAGAGAGAAAGAGTGCGTGTGTGTGTGTGTGTGTGTGTGTGTGTGTGTGTGTGTGTGTGTGTGTGTGATATATATGAAGTAACAAATACATGGTAGTTGTGCCTCAGCCCTGCATGTGACTGGGCTTCTCTTCAGATGCTAGTTGAAGCTGCAGCACATGTACACTTTTTTTGCTGTTTTTTTTATTTTGAAATCTACAGGTTTAGGAAGTTTTATGAGCAAGGAGGGTGGACGCCATCAACACATATTTAACTCTAACTTAACCTGTCTGCATGTTGACAGATGTTTCCGTCAGAATTTTCAGCCAGATTCACAGACCATAATAGTCACACCCTGCCTATCCGATATTAAGAAGAAACAAAAAAAAAGGTAGGACAGTCTGAAGGCATTTTTTAGTACTTTCACAGAAACCCAAGAATGCCTCTTTATTTTTCATTACTCTGAAAGGTATAAACTCTCATATTTTTTCAGTGGTGGTTGCACTTCAGATTTTGCTCTTGCATGTTGTCTGATCCCGTCCACCTCGACCTCCCCCCAAAATCTCCCATTACCCCCAGAAGCTGGTTGGAAAAAGTCTCCTGTTGATGTACTGGCTTCTCTCTCCCGTACGTCTGTTTCCATCCAGCACCCATTTGCAGAATGCTCTCAATCTGTGTGTCATGTGTTCTGCACAGATGTGTGTGTATGCCTGCCATAGTACTGACACTTCTCTCTGCCCCCCCCCCCTATCTCCCCCTTCTCACATCTGCATTGTCTCTCTCTGCGAACCTAGATTTTTAACTTTAATACAAAAAGACAGAACGGTGCAATATTTAATGCACAAAAAAAGCTTCTAAATTGTCTCATTCTGGATTGGTTTTGAACCCCTAAAACACCATTAGATGGAATTCTGTCTTGCTGTTAGATCCAAACTGAGAACACTTGCAAAGGTTTCATCATCTTAGCTAAAACAAGTGTTTGATTTATTACATTGATTATAGTAAAAGCTCAGGAATACACTGCATCATCAGGTGGATGTAGACAACCAGTTTCATTGTTCCATATTTGTACGATTTCATCCATGCATCTTGTTCCTTTATGCATCCCTCCATTGTATTGCTCGCTGTGTTCTTTTATTATAATTATAATTATTATTATAAGTTATTTAATTTATAACTCGCTCCTCATTTACCTCCACAGCCACAGGTAATATTGTGCAATATTACCCATCTTCCAAAATGCTGCACTCCATCTTAAATATATATCTGATGTGATTAAAAAACAACAACATTCATTCTTACAATTACACATTGCATTAAACATTCAAATTAAAAATATATATTAAATTCAATAAAGTTTAACTGTTCCTGAAAGGAAATTTGTGTGCAGCAAAAACGGAGGAAAAAAAATGCAGAAATGTATTTTTTATAGAGAGGCGAAGTCCCGCCCATCTACTTCCGACTGAAATTGAAGTCAATAGAGAGAGAAAGATTATCTCTCGATCCCGTTTGAATTGTGCCACGAATTACACATATGATGTTTGTCAATCGTAAAAAATAATTTCCATGTCAAAAAAGTCACAGTTTGTCGTAAAACTGTTGAAATATGAGACTATGAAAAATACGCAACTAGAAAGCCTACAAATCCCAGAGTCCCGGGCCGTTTCTCAATCGCGAGGATACTGGCTTGGTAGTCGTGTACTTCCAAGTCACTTCCTTCAGAAACGAAGCAAATATGCTTCCAAGCCACGGCTTCGGAAAACAAAGAAGAATGGAACAGGCTAACAAGTGTGCCACTCTCTCTAACGGTTTCAACATAAACTGTACTGAAAATATCTAATTATGAACTTGCTTTACTTTCACGGAACACATTTTTGGTGATAACAAATGCAACAAAGAAACATATTTACCAACACATGTTCTACGCCACTACATACTTACATTTAAATGTGTGCTGCGTCGGTTCAGCCATTCTCCGCAAGGGTTTTTGAAATTGGTCCGTGCGCAAAGCATTGTGGGGATTTGAAGGACGCGAAGTCTACCCATGTCAGCCTCGAAATTTCCCCAAAACCAAGGACGTGGCCTCGGTGGAATTTCAAGTATGCTGGAGATTGGAACAGTCCTTCGGCGGCACTCGATGACGTAGCATCCTTGAAATATTGGCTTGGAAGCCAGTTTCCTCGCGATTGAGAAACGGCC